GAATTCAACACACAATTAAAGGAGACAAAGTGTGGATAATTCAAGAAATCAAAGGGAGGCAATAACAAGACAAAGAAGAACAAGAGAATAAATTGAAAATCTACATCCTAATTTTTTCTATTCTCTTCCTATGTCTTTTTATATGAATTTTAGTAATTTCATAGATTATATCATGAGCTAAATTCATTATCTAGCGTTTGATTGTAGTAAAAAACTAGAGAATATGTATTGATTAATTTTAGTTATTTCTATTAGATTTTTCACATGTGTTTATTTGTATTATGATTTTAATGCTTTCAATTAATTGACGACTAATTGAATGATTTGATGCTAGTCAATTTCGGCACTTGAGAGAGGCGAATTTAGGCGCGATCATAAGATTCACACAACATAGATTTTATAGGTTTTGGGAGAAAGTACAAGATATATGATGTTTACTCCATAAAAGAATCATGAACTTGATAATTTCTAGATTTTAATTCGAAATAAAGATATTGGAATTAATTTCTAGGATTAATTTTTATCCGGCACTCGAGAGAGGATGTAGAATTACATTAGGGTTCTTGCTTATAAACATGAAAATTTGACTAGAGATAGCTAAGTTTTTGATAATCATATTTGATAGTTAAGTGAAATCATTCACTAGACTTTTCCGTCTTGATTAAATTCATATAATTTGTATTCATTGAATTCGTCACCAAAATTATCGTTAGATTAGTTGACAATATTGATTCACAACTCATTCGTTTAGATAAAATAAAGGCTACATAATTATAGGATTTAATACAAAATTAAATTACAATCCCTATTGGTTCGACACTCTAAACTCAATTATTATATTACAAAACTTGATAACGTATACTTGCGGCATAAATCACGTTATAGAAAACGCGTGACAGTAAGGAACAATTTTATGTCTTGTTATCCCATTTTCTTTGCACATATTGTCAAATTGAGTGTTACAAAACTCTAGACCATTATCAGTTCTCATAAACTTGATCATCTTACTAGTTTGATTTTCAACTTGTCTTTTCCAATTACTAAAATTATGAAAAGTGTCAGATTTATACTTTAAAAGATAAATCCACACTTTTCTAGTGTAGTCATCAATGATAGACAATAAAAACCTATTTTTACGGTAGGACTACTAGATGGACCCCATAAGTCCGAATGCACATATTCAAGTATGCCTAGTTTTATGAATACTTGTGGAGAAAGTAGTTATATGATGTTTACTGGTGTGTACTGTCGCAGGCACCCAAAAGTAATACCTTAACCTCTAAAACTAATGTAGTAGTGGAAGTAAAGGTCGATCCCATGAAGAGTATGTAATTCAATATATTATGATTCGTACAATGATTGGGGAATTTTTCTATGCAAACAATTGTAAATAACGCAATTAGTAACAATAAAAATTAAATTAACGAAAATAATCAAAAGACTAACCTTGGTTCAAGTCAATATCCACCGTTGGAACTTTGCAATTGATCATCGATGCAAGTATAAATCAATCCATATTTTAAATATTAACCGTTGATATTAATTCTTATTTCTCCTTAATTCTAGTTAGTTAGAAACCAGCGTTCTAATTATCCCTAATTATTAAATAATCTCATAACAGCGCTCAAGATTCAATTTAATAACAGCTTTAAATAATAGAGAAATCGATGAATTGGATAACACAACACCAACGGTTGCATTCAATCTATTTAAACATTTTTCCTAAAATTTAACAATCACTAAAGTAGCAAATTATCAAACCCTAGTTTAATCACAAGTTAAAGAAAT